CAGTTTCCACACACATATGAGGTGATTGAAAATATCATGGCTTGGGTCAGGTATACCTTTGTCTTCAAAGTCACCTCTTTGCTCTTAAATACTTTAAAGAGGTCTTTTGCAGCAGATTTGCCCAATGTAATAAATCATTTGATTTCTTGACTGCTGCTTCCATGAGTGTTGATTGTGGATCCAAGTAATAATCCTTGACAACTTCAATCTTTTCTCCATTTACCATGATGTTGCTTAGTGGGTCATTTATGAGGATTTGTGTTTTCTTTATGTTGAGGTGTAATCCACACTAAAGGCTGTAGTCACTGATCTTCATCAATAAGTGGTTCAAGTCTTCTTCACTTTCAGCAAGCAAGGTTGTGTCATCTGCATATCGCAGATTATAAATGATTCTTCCTTGAATCCTGATGCTGCATTCTTCTTCATATTGTCCAGCTTTGCAGATTAGTTGCTCAGCATACAGACTAAGTATGGTGAAAGGATACAATTCTGGTGCACATCTTTCCTGATTCTAAACCCTGCAGTATCCCCTTGCTGTTTGAATGACTGCCTCTTGGTCTATGTACAGGTTCCTCATGAGCATCATTAAGTATTCTGGAATTTGCATTCTTTACAACATTATCCAAAATTTTGCTATGCAAAATATGCCTTTGCATAGTAAATAAAGCACTTAAGCATCTTTCTGGTATTCTCTATTTCAGCCAGGATCAATCTGACATCAGCAATGATATCCCTTGTTCCATGTCCTTTGAATCCAACTTGAATTGTTGAATAGTACTGCTACAACCATTTCTGAATTATCTTTAGCAAAATTTTTAGCTAAAATTCTTAGCTGAAAGCAAAGAATACCAGAGAGATGTTTACTTATGTTTTACTGACTATGCAAAAGCATCTGTGTGACTCATAATAAATTATGGATAACATTGAGAAAAATGGGAATTCCAAAACACTTGATTGTACTCATGAGGAACCTGTACATAGATCAGGAGGCTGTCATTCAAACAGAACAAGGGGACACTGCATGGTTCAAAATCAAGAAGGGAGACCACCAAGGTTTTATCCTTTCACCATACTTATTCAATCTGTATGATGAGCAAATAATCCAAAAAGATGGATTATATGAAGAAGAACATGGCATCAGGACTGGAGGAAGACACATTAACAACCTGCGATACACAGATGACACAACTTTGCTTGCTGAAAGTGAGGATGACTTGAAGCACTTACTGATGAAGACTGAAGAATATAGTCTGCAGTACGGATTATACCTCAATATAAAGAAAATAAAAATCCTCACAACTGGACCTATAATAGTATCACAATAAATGAAGAAAAGATTGAAGTAGTCAAAGACTTCATATTACTTGGTTCTACAATCAACACCAATGGAAGCATAGTGCCTAAGGCACTTGACTGCTAACCAGAATGCTGGTGGTTCAAACCCACCAGCCACTCCTCAGAAGGAAGGTCGGGCAATCTACTTCCGTAGTGATACTGCCTTGGAAACCCACGGAGGGGTCATTATCAGTTGGGTCTGACTCGACGGCACATAACAACAACAGCATAGCACTGGCAAAATTGGCTGCAAAAGACCTCTTGTAAATGCTGAAGAGCAAGGATGTCTCCTTGAGGACTAAGGTGCACCTGACACAAGCCATAATATTTTCAATTGCTTCATATGCATATGAGAGCTGGACAATGAATAAGGAAGACTGAAGAAGAGTCAACTCTTTTGAGTTGTGGTGCTAGTGAAGAATGCTGGAAATACCATGGACTATTAAAACAACTAACACATCTGTTCTGGAAGGAGTGCATGGTTGTGGTAAAGTGGAAGGTCAATGAAAGAGGGGAAGGCCCTCAACAAGAATGTTTATCATTCCCATTTTAAACTTGCAAAAAAGGAAGCACAGAGAAGTAAAAAGACATTGTGGATTAGTAATAGAATAGGAACTAGGATTAGTAGAACACACTGACCATTAAGCACCATGCTACCTTCTGGGGTTACAAAGATGAATAAAATGTGGTCCTTTTCTCCCAGCCTGGCCTTACAGAGCCTCCATCATGTTTGGCCTGGACAACACAAACCAAAGAACCTAGAGAAATATCAAATCTCCCTTGAGCCCAGGAAGGCCTAGCTGCATGGTCAACAGAGCTGCTTCACACTATCAACTGCCCTGGTTCCTGCATCTGCAACATACAGGGAGAAGGCCTCTTTCCAAAAGGATTTGTTTAAATTCCAGCTCAGTCTTCACAATGAGACTCGGCAGGTGCATACTGATCATCACTGATCTACAAATTATGAACCAGGGGTAATAAGAACATGGGGAAGAGTGACTAGGCAGATCAGCTTAAAATCTCACATATCAAGGTCCATTGTCAATTTAAGACTAGTAAGAAACAAAGAAAATGCATTGCCGAAATGAAGTTATTAGGCAAACAGAACTTGAGATACAATTTTTAAGAAACTTACTACATTAGAAAGATCTAGCTACACCAGGCTGTACAGTTTGATAATAGCGAACCACCAGGAAGAACTGTTGTGAAACACAAGCAGTCACCATCGTGTAAGTGCTAGCTTACTACTAGCACAATCATGTGACTTATCATCTGAAATGGGCACTCTGAAAATAAAAAGCGGCACTATTAAAAATCATGCCAGCGCAACGGGTGTACTAACAGGACTATCTCAGCAAACCAGCAGAGCTGGTCACCCATTTTAGTAACCATTACACATGAAGAAAAGCAGGTACTCCTTCAGTCATGCAAATGATCCATTAGGTACATCAACAACAGAAATCAGAATGGACAAGACACTGGTGCAGTGTGGGGGGCCTACATAAATCATTTGACTCTGAATAGCTATGCTAATACTTTCTCCAATGAAGAAAAATAGTGTTAGTAGAAGTCACTAGCTTTACCTACTTGCTTTTCTTGCCTTTTCTCACTGACCTACATTCAAACTTTTTTTTAAAATTAAGAACAGAATTTCATTGTCTCACAATCCTAGAGGCTAGTAGTCTGAATTCAGGGTGTCAGCATTGCCATATTCTCTCTGAAGGCAGTAGGGGAATTTCCTTTCTTGTCTCACTCAGCTTCTGGTAGTACCAGAAGTTCCTTGGTGCGTAGATAGATCTTCACCTCACCATCTTTCCTGTCTCTCTCTCTCTCTGTGTCTCTCTTCTCTTTTGTAAGGACAGTACACAGATTGGGTTAGCACTCACTCTCTTCCAGTATAATCTCCTGTTAACTGATAACATCCTCAAACATGCTACTTCCAAACAATGCCATAGTCATAGGTACCAGGGGTTAGGACTTCAGCATACCCTTTGGAGGGCACAATTCTATCACACGAGCTGTTGTTGCTAGCTGCTATGGAATTGTCTCTGGCTTGTAGTGACCTCATGTATACAAAAGGAAACGTCATTGCCTGGTCAGGCGCCATCTCTGTCATCTCTGGTACGTCTGAGTCCATTTTTGTGGCCACTGTGCCAATCCACCTAACTGAGGGTTTCTCCCATTTTCACTGACCTTCTACTTTACCAACCACCATGTCCTTTTCTAGTGATTGGTCTTTTCTGATGAGGTGTCCAAAGTAAGTGAGCTGAAGTTTAAATAGCCAGGAAGAGGAAGCCCACACTTAGCTCTTGCAAACAGTGAAAATCAAATTCATCTGTCATCGCCCTGATCATTTCCAGCCCCAAATATGTATTCTGGTGTGTTTGATCAAGACACTGGGCTAGACTTTCCTGCTTAATTTATTTGAGACATTTTGAAATATGCTTCATCTTGTTGAACCCTTTACAGGATGTAGCTATTTCTTAAGTGTTATCACTTACAGGATTCGCTTCCTTTCTTTTTTAGTATTTTATTTTTGTTAGCAGTATACACAACTAAACATACATCTATTCACAACTTCCACATCAACAGTTCAATGACATAGGTTACATACTTCACGTTGTGTCACATGCTCACTATCTTTATCCATATTGTTTCATCACCATTAATTTAGGCTCTCTACTTAAAATTCTCATCTGATCTGTGGTTGACATTAACTACTGTCAGTTTAAATTCATATAGGTATTTCTTTATAACAATCCAATGCTCAAGACACACATTCTTTCTATAGTCAATGTTTAGGAAGGCCATTCCTCTCTCCATTTGAAGTTTAGTCATAATGCTTAAGAATAAATGCATCCTTCTGTGTTAAGTTATGCACAGAAAGCCATTCTCAAAAAACACACAGGCCCTCTTCCTTAAATGCACAGCTGTTTTATACAACGTTTGCATGAATATGTGCCACAGCTTCTTTAATCAAGATTGATCTAGTAGTTCATCACAGAGTCAGCATAGCAAAAACAAGTTCACTAGACACAAGATTTTATTTTAAGGATCATTACATATGTCCTTCTGAGAAATATTCTGAGCGAATCACTTGATGGTTAAAAACAAATCAGGATATGTTCTATTGATACAAATCAAATATGTTCAAACATTTTTGGTTTCCTTGGTAAGGGAGAACAAAGATTACTGCAAAGTCATGAAGCAAGTCTAAAAGGTCCAATTTAAAAAAAAAATCTATAAAATGGGAGGATTAAACACTGTCAGCCCTATTGTGTCAAGAGACACTGTACAATTCAAATCAAGAAGAGGATTCCATACAAGTCCAGCAGACGGCTGGACGGTGGGCAAGCAGAAGTAAAGCAACAGGCTATACAAAATGTAAAAAGAGCCAAAGTTCAATTACAAAAAAATAAAATTTAGTCAGAAAATCATTACTACATAAAGTCACATAATGATGTCTATTAAGTGTTTTGTTTAAGGAGAGAAGAAATTATACTGTTAGTTGTCTATTTATTGAGGAAGAAAAATAAAGGAAGTGTTTGGAAAGTACTTCTGATAGTAAGTGAGTTCTTTCTTCGCTGCTATAGAATTCACAGACATCTGAATCATCCTTGTCAACATGTAGAAACAAAGTCAGAGCATGGCCTTCAGTGGGATGCTCACAATACCCGAATGAGGTCCAGGGTGATCCTGGATCGGGGAGTGTCAATGTGGAGTACTCGGACTTCCACTTTTTCTCCTGGGCCCAGCCCAAGACTCCGTCTCTTCTTCGTTTTTGAAAGTTTTGCTTCTGTTACATTTCGTATAGGAATCAGCCCTGCTTTTCCCACCCCGATATCCACAAAAATTCCAAACAAAGTGGCATTCTGGACTTTGCCTGTAAGAATTGTTCCAACCTGCAGATCTTCCAGGCAGACTATGCTTCTCTTGAAATCAGGTTTATCAAAATCTATAAAGAAAGGTAAAAAGGGTTACTGTTAATAATAAGGCATTGTACTTCCTAGACACAACATAAATTAGAGACTACAGGTTGACTGAGTATCATATGCTCAGACCAGTATTAAGCATTGAGGGTGGACTGGAGCCACAGGCCTGCCTCAAAAGAAATGCAGAAACAGCATTCACACAGCAGAAACAATTCACAAAAATGTATTCAAATACTTCCTTCTCCCTAAACTATACAGCACTAACATGTGAGCATTAGTACAAGACATAAGGATTGAGAAGAGTAGAGTTTTATTTTCCTGTTTATAAGGAAGTAAGAATATACATTTGTTCTATGAATATACAAGGCTAAATCACTAACGTACAATGAGAAATAAGACAGTGCCTTCCAGAGACTGGACTCTCAAATTGTTTAAAAATAATTTAGTACATCAACTTTTGGTCAAAGATGGGTGAAATTCAAATGTTCTCCTAGTCACCTCCTCCTACAAATTTCTATCTCAGGAATCAATTCCTATCTATTTCTAATATATTTATTTACTCAATCAAAATTTATGGATTCTTGATTATCTATGGCTCAGAAACCCAGATCACCTAGTACCTAATCTTCATTCTCCTCTTTCAATTCAACTCATCAAACATTTATGAATTCCTACTATTATCTCCAGCCCAAGGACTCTGCTGGGTGCTAGAGATACCTAGGTGATGACACTTGGATCTCTGTTCTCAAGTTCCTTAAAGTCTTCTCTTCTTGCTGACTCCAATGAGCATTTCTCCATTCATTAATAAACCAAACAAAAAACTCATTTTTGTTGAAGTATATTCTGACTCACAGTGACCCTACAGGAAAGAGTAGAACTGTCCCATAGGGTTTCAAAGGCTGTAAACCTTTACAGAAGCACACTTCTTTGCACAAAGAGGCTGATGGGTTTGAACCACCAACCTTTTTTTGTTAGCTGCAGAGCTCTTTAACCAAGGTTTTACCAGGGCTCCTTCCTGTTCATTAATACTATCTTCCAAGAAGATAGACATGAACTATGCCAAGAAATCATTATGGCTCTAGTTAAAATAAATACAACAAAGGTTTTATGGGGGAGAAGGTTAAAACTAACACTTGAAAGAGAGCTTTTAGATTATCTGTGGACTCCATTTCTCCATGCTCTTGTTGGCCCCCTTTCCTAGGATTACTGAATGTTGACTATAATAACAAAGAACACATTCTATGCTTGGATCTCCTTTTACTTAAGATCTCATTTTCCCCTCCACCCATCCTTTTCCTCCACAGCTGTTGGCTTTATCCTGATTACATTTAAAGCTATCCTTTACATTTGTATTAACAACTGGTCACCTCTTTTCTTTATTCCCCTCCCCCAATCCAAACATAACTAAAAACCAAGTTGTGTTTTTTTTTTTTTTTTAATTCAGGTGTTTCCTGTAAAGAACAAAACAAAAATCCTCTTTAAAATAAAAACCTCACTTTCTTCATAAAAAAAGAACATGCTAAAATTGGAATTGATTCTGTAGAATTTTACCTGATGCTGAAGCAGTGAATTCTAAAAGCAAGAAACCTCTTTCAATGTAATATTACACAGGGTATAGACTGTGTCAAAGCAAAGTGAAATGAAGCTGTTGGTCAGGGCCAGAGGTAGGATGGTCTTCGACAGAGGGTATCTAAGGTCTGGCAGGTATGGCACATGCCCTGGGTGCCACTGAGCAGTTTCTAATAACCCAGTTTGGCCCAGTGTCCTTCCTCAAGCATGGTAGTGATGGGCAAGCAGAGGGGGGCACTTGCCCTTGGGTGTAAGTTCAAGGGGGTGCCAGACAAGGCATGGAATGGCATTTTGAGGCACCACAAATATGAAAGATATCTGACGGAGGTAGTGGGACAAGAGGGGGGATGGTGTTTCTCCTGCAGTATCTCCACTATCAATGTCTATTCTTCTTGATACGGGGACACACACACACACACACACCCTGAGAGTGCCATGGGAGTTCATTACCCTTGCTATGCCTGCAATCTTCAAAGCCCCATAGGAATTGTTTTATGCTTGGAAACTTTTCTCCCCTCCTTTCTTGCTGAAGTCCAGCTGCTCCAGATTCCCCAAGGGTTCCTGATCAGCTGCTTATTTTAATTTTGCATGGAAAATCAGAGTCAGGAACTACTTAACATGTTCCTGAAGACCGCATGGGCCACTGAACAATCAGACAATCCTCTGTGCATTGTGCAAACTTTAACACTTTGAGAGCCAAGACCTCATATTCAGTCCCATCTCCAGACTGGTACAATGAGTGCAATTATGAAAATTAACTAGCAACCAGAGTGTTAATAAACATGGAATCAATTGTATCACTGAGAAAACAGAAGACAAGATGAGTATGAGGAAAGAATGAGGCAGTAAGAAAGGAAATACTTTTGAGAAAAAGGATGTAATATAAATACTGTAAATGTAGAAATGCACAAAATACTATCTGCCTCCTCAAAAATACAACTTGTCTGTCTTCCCTCTTGGGGATGTATGTAATAGAAAATGAAAATTCTCAGACATCTTGAAATCTGTGACTTATACTAGAGCAAAGGTCAGTTCCAAAGCTTGTTTAAAGAGGCTTACTTGAAATTTCACTTGTCACACTGATATAACACTGCAGGAGCTGGAAGCTCAGCCCAGAGCCCAGGTGCATCTGTGTTTCTGTTCAACTAAGGGCAATACTGGGAGCTCTGGTAGCATAGTGCCTAAGGCACTTGACTGCTAACCAGAAGGCTGGCAGTTCAAACCCACAGCCACTCCTCGGAAGGAAGATGGGGCAACCTACTTCCGTAGTGATACTGCCTCGGAAACCCAAGCAGGAGTTGCTATGAGTCGGGTCCGACTCGACAGCACATAACAACAACAACAACGACAAGGGCAATACCAGTTGAGGACCTCTACTCAGCTGTTGGATAAATAGGACCATATAATTTGAAAGTTGATCTTAGCTCTGAGTCTGCTGCATAACTGGGAAAATGGAGCAATGAATATGAGAGAAAACCAAAGATGGACAACAAAACCCAGAGGAGGATGATGTTGTTGTTGTTGTGTGCCGTCGAGTCAGACCCGACTTATAGCGACCCTTCCTTGGGTTTCCAAGGCAGTATCACTATGGAAGTAGATTGCCCAACCTTCCTTCCGAGGAGTGGCTGGTGGGTTTGAACCGCCAGCCTTTTGGTTAGCAGTCAAGTGCCTTAGGTACTATGCTACCAGAGCTCCCCCAGAGTAGGATACCTGCAGCTAAAATACTTACTAACCTTTTCTAATGCAGTGGTTCTATGTATGCTGCTGTTGTTAGCTGCCCCCAGCGCATGGCAACTCCACGCACCATGGTACAGAATGCTGCCCAGTCCTACATCATACCTATGATCAGGTGCTGATCAGGCTGTTGAGAGCCATAGATTTTTCATTCACTGATTTTTGGCAGTGGATTGCCAGGCCTTTCTTCCTAGTCCATCTTAGTCAGGAAGCTCCACTGAAACCTATTCAGCATCACAGCAGAATGCAATCCACCACTGACAGGCAGAGGCTGTGCTTGAGGTGCACTGGCCTAGAATAGAACCCAGGCCTCCTGCACGGAAGGCAAGAATTCTACCACTGAAGTACCAGTGCCTTGGTTCTAAATCCCTAAATGCCACTCTGTTTGAGAACCACTGCTCTACTCACTCCTGCTAGGCCATGCCCATGGAATCCACATGAAAGCACATCAGGCCTCCAAATGGAGAAGGAATTGCCCACTGTGTGTGGGGAACCACCTGCAGACTTCCCTTCCCACATCTTTGGTATAATTCTTACTGGGTATTTTGTTTTTCTCCAACTTCTTAAATTTTTAACTTACTAAGTTGAAGGAATAGTTTTTAAATTTCCTTAGACTTTTTCAAAAAAGCATGCCAAACTACCTCAATAGAGCCTAACCCAGAAAGAAAAGAGCCAAGCCCTAAACATGGTATCATAAAAATTGGTTCAAAGTCAGGTGAGCAGATTCATTGAAATCTCAGAAGTTCTTATTCAAACTTCCTTGGGAAATAGGCCATTTGATACCGTAATTCTTTTCCACTGCTATGGCTGTGGCTGTTACACTTCCTTCACCATCTACCTGTGCTTGAAAGCTGAGAGCACTTTTAATGAGAAGGAAAATCAACAGAGATATTATCTTATTTGTTCAATGTCTTCACTGACACAGGATCCAGGAAGTTGGAAAGTTGTAATTTAGGAAGAAGATTCACCTTTTCATTTGTGAACTAAAGGCCTTACCTTGTACTTCAGGCTCTCAGGAGACAAAAACAGTTTACAAAGGGATCACGAAGAATGTGTGCCTCCATGCAAACAGCAGTGTATGTATGAGGCATTTAGTGTAGTGTAACGGAAATAAGAATTATATTCGGAGTATGGAAACCTGGGCTCTAGCTTTGGCTCTGGATATTAACTAACTGTAATGACTCTGAAGGAAGATCACTATGCTTTAATTTCCTCATCTGTAGATGGAGAGAACAGTATCTGTTTCGCCTATGGCACTGGATTGTTGTAAGGATCAAAGGAGACAACATGACTACACAAATGCAAGGTGCTGGACTTTGAGTTCAATTGTTTACCTGTTCTAAAGTCAAAGCTCTCGGGTTGGCTGAGACCGTCGATGATGACCTGCAAGGTGTGTACTGTTGTGTGCAATCCTTCTGCAATTTTGTTTATGCCTTCCTTTTCAAGCACTGAATTTATCTTTTGTTGCATTTCAGTCTTTCCAATCTCACACAATGTCCCTCCAATGAGTGATAAGAACCTGAAAAGGTGGGAGGCGGGGAGAAGCCCAACATTTATTAAAAATATTATCTACCAGTCTTCTTATACAAACCAAACCAAACTCACTGCCGTCAAGTCCATTCTATTCATAGCAACCCCTCCTTGGGTTTCCGAGGTGCCATCTCTACAGAAGTAGGTTGCCCAATCTTCCTTCTGAGGAGTGGCTGGTGGGTTTGAACCATCAGCCTTCTGGTTAGCAGTCAAATGCCTTAGGCACTACGCCACCAGAGCTCTTATACAGGTCACCCTAAAATCCACAGAGCAATCAATGAATTTTTATTGAATATCTACAATGTGTTTCATGTTATAATGGGTAATAAGTATTGAAGAAAAAAGGGAGAAGGTGGATTTAGGTTCTTGTGCTATTTTTCAAGTGAAGCACCTGTTCAGTCAGCACTAAAAAACATTTTACAGCCAAATGTTCATTTTAGTTTAGAGTCGGAGCTATCTTCTAAATAAGGCTACCTATATTTACCTCATGTTTCCTAAACTTTTAATTGTTGTTGTTGTTGAAATTAGTTAATAGGCAAATAAGAACTGGTGATACCCAAATCCAGCAAAATATGCATTAGCATTGCCACTTTTGACAGTGTGCCGTATCATTGCTTTCTACTTTTGAGTACCCGTGATGGTTGTTACCTCTGCAGCATATTATCAAGATTAATAACATACAAATCCCATTAAAAAAATCAAACCTTACATATACTAAATTATATCAAGTATATTAAGCAGTCAACAGAAAATATATGGAAACAAATTATTAAAAAAAAAGAAAAGTAACCTCTTTCCAATATGGAAGCAGGTAAGAAACAACGGAAGCAAATAAGACATCACTTGTATAATCACAAGATGAGCAATATCTTTATATATAATTTACATATTATATTATTGCAATTTTTACAAAATAAAAATATCTGCCTTTCTCAACTTTCTTCTGCTATGTTTACCATATCCCTTGGTTGTACAGCTGCCTCTCAATTACATACCTTTGGAGTTCAGTAAAAGTTGATTAAGGAAAAAAAAAAAAAAAAACAATTAAAGGGGTAAGATGCATTTCACTTCAATTTCACCTGAATATTGGGCTGTGAGTTACTTTCTTGACATTTCTTGGCTGGGTATTTTGCTACATCAAGTTCCATTTCCCATGATTAACGGCACTTTAAAAATGTCAACACAGTAATCAGACAGATAGTGATACTAATGCCCTCAAATCCTTTCTTCTAAGGATGTCTCTGGACTACAAGGAGGAAACAAGAAAATTGCTGGAGTCTCCTCTATAACAGAATTGGGATGTATCCCATTTGGCAAGTTGCTACATCATCATAAAATGAATGCGCTGATTTCAAGCTTCTTTTGCATTGTTATGTGCAACCAGAAAAGGTCTCTACTGTGATAATCCAGTGTCTGATGGAGAAAGTGCTGTCACCTCTCATTTAACTATAGAGTCACTCTGGGTACAAACATGCAAATACTCTTACATTTGTAAAGCCATATTTTTGGTCAAAAACAGATGTATTCTCTCAAATCCAATTAAGTCTCTTGAGAATATATTTTGGTTAATGACCTAAAGACCAGAAGAAGAGGCTGTAAGGAGTTAGTGCCTGGTCCTTGAAAACGAGCTTCCATCCAGACTGCAGCCAGGGAGATACGTGCTCTAAGTCTCTGTGTCTGCAGCTCCCCCCGCCCGGCAGTGAGGCAGTGCTATCTGTTAGTGTTGATGGATGGGCAGTAGCATACAGGGCCCTGGTGACAGGGAACAGCTGCTGGAGCTCTGACGGAAGGGGCAGATGTCACATGGCAACTTCTTACAGTCAACTTCCTTACACAACTTCCTAGATAATACAAGCCCTACTGAGCAGACTTCCCTGGTATTCACCCTCTTGGCTTTATTGGACTGCAACTGGTAAATAAGCAGAACATCTTTTCAAATCCCCAAGATTCTGGCTTAAAACCATCTGTTAAAATGCCAAGAAAGCATATTCATGAGCTGTAAACCTATAACTTGAATCTGCCCTCCAAAAACAAAAAACAAAAAATCCAAACTCACTACTGTCAAATTGGTTCCAACTCATAGCAACCCTTCCTTTGGTTTCCAAGGTGGTATCTCTACAGAAGTAGATTGCCCAGTCTTCCACCATTTTATAATTAATAAAAGTAATTAAGTGACAGAAACTCCCCAAAACATTGTATAAGTGTTGGCCTCGATAACAACAACAACAACAAAAAAAAAAACAGCTTAGCAGGCCACTTGGAGCTTTAAGAATGTGTGTGTGTGTGTGTGTACATACATATCAAAAAGAGAGAGGACCTATAACTGCTATCAGTCATTTCCATATAAAGAACTCTGTTTATAATGGTTGCAGATGGAAGAAGAAAACTGGTTTGTTTAATCTGAATGTATATTTCATTATCATTTTAATCCTTAAACACATAAACCTAAGAGTACTGGTAACTGACATTTGAGGTGAAAAAAAAAAAAAAAAAAAAGGACCAAATTGTGCTTCTTGCTAATATCTCATATTAATTAATCCTATTTTTAAATGACTACGAACAAAGTCAAATGCTTTCTTTATTTTAAAAACTTTCTTAAAGTTACAACAAAGTTGCAGAAAAAAGGAAATTATCAAGCTAAAAAGGAAGGACTATAAAATGAATTGCAGATAGCATTCAGATGAATTTCTCCCTTGTTGGTTACAAATATATTCAACTATATGGTGGCGTAGTGCCTAAGGCACTTGACTGCTAACCAGAAGGCTGGCAGTTCAAACCCACCAGCCACTCCTCAGAAGGAAGACTGGGCAATCTATTTCAGCAGAGATACTGCCTTGGAAACCCACGGTAGGGTCGCTATGAGTCAGGACTGACTTGACGGCAGTGAGTTTGGTTTGTTTTGGTTTTGGTATAAGTAATAAAAAAGAGTATTTTACACTCAGTAGCCACTCAATAAACGTTCTAAGAAAAATTGATCCTACATATCCTGAATTTCCACTTTAGAACTGAATGTCATGTGAGTAACACCCAACATAAAGTTTCAGTGCTGATGACGTGTTCTAACCCAAAAGTACTAAATGAAAAGACACTGTGCTTTATGAATCTTGGTGCACTGAATGGAAGTGAACACACCTTTATAAGTATGTAGCAGGTATTATATGCTAGTGCACAACAGAGATTCTCACTTAATCCTGACAATAATTCTAAAAGGTAGATATCATATCATACAGACAAGAAAAACTGAGGTTCAGGGAATTTAAATAAGGAAACACAGCTACCATCACTAACCGGAGTTGCACACCAAAGTCCATGTTCTATCCAATATGCTATTCTACCTCTTCTGATAACATATCGTGGAATAAATACCAGTTCCTGACTATAAAAACTCAGATATATAGGCACACACACGCAAGCATGCACACACCTGTGTGTTTGTGTATTATTGTAGTTATGTCAACATTAAAGTGCTAGATTTGGTTAAGACAGAAGACACACAATCCTTTTGATAACATTTCACCAACATAATTTAATGCCAGATTACTTTTAAACAGACAGTTAACACTGAATAAATCCCACAGTAAAATTATTATACTTATGCTTTAAATATCCAATTCTCTCAAAAGCCATGAGTTATTAAAGTCATGGTCTCATTTTCTCCACTGTCTCTGGAACACTTTTTCAGTTTGTTAAGGATGTTGCTTGAGCTGCTGTTTTTATTTAATATGTAATTTCATCCATCTTTCTTAAAATAAGAAAGTAGCATAAATGCAACAAATAGGCACATCATGTTCTTTTAGCACACATCTGCACAAAGTTAAAATACAGACCTTGCAGCAGAGATAATGCTTATTTTTCAAATAGAAGGCTATATAACCTCAACTCACTGCTATTTTCAACAGAACCTTGTTACAAATGCAGGGTTCCCCCTACCAAACAGTAAGAAAAAAAAAAAAAAAATTCTTCAACATTTTTTCCCAAAGAAGAAGAAATTCTCAAGATTCATAATACTTCAGACACGGCCATTCAGTTTTAGGTAATCATTTCCAGCACAAAGATTTAGGAGCTGAGGACTTGGTTCATTACTTTAAAGCAACATGATACCCCACAGAGCACAGAAGGACCATGGTGATGCAACACAATCATTTTAAAAACAACTTAATATTAGCATGTGCTTTGTGGGCAAAACACATATGATTTATAACTCTACACAGAACCATGCTGTAAGGGCAAAGTACTTCTAGTTTCCTATCCATTTACAACACTTTTAAGGAATTTTCATACTTGGTTACTTTTATCCCTTACTTAGTTTTACTTGGTTTTAAGGTAATTGTATCAATAAACAAAAATTTAAGTCCAAGAGCAGAGTCATTTTAAAAATGAGTAGGCTGAGATAAAGTAGGCCATAATTTTCAATACTAATAGCCATTCTAAATGATTATTTTAAGAAAAACTTACACTCTAAGAGGAAATCTGGCCATCATTTAATGATTGTAGATCCACACAGTGGGATGCAAATGAAGGTGCAGCAATAATTTGTTACTCTAATAACACAGATTATGCTCTGGTAGTATAGTGGCTAAGACACTTGCCTGCTAACCAGACTGCTGGCGGTTCAAACCCACCAGCCACTCCTCGGAAGGAAGGTTGGCCAATCCTACTTCCGTAGTGATACTGCCTCAGAAACCCAAGGAGGGGTCGCTATGAGTCGGGGCCGACTCGATGGCACAGAACAACAACAACAACAATAACACAGATACTATATATTCTTAAATCTACTGCTCTTACTATTAAAGGGTGAATATAAATTCAAATGTGGCAAAGACAGAACAGTGTTCGATTTGGCCTTTTGTCTCTGGTCTCTGGTTACTGGAATCTGCCAGTAAGCAAGGGGTGTTTGTTTTATAAAATAGCCAGGCAACACTTGCTGCTGTTATTAGGTGCCTTTGAGTCCATTTCTGTTGAATAGTGACCCCATGTGACAGAGTAAAC